TTTGCTATCAGTGGTTTTCAGCCGTAAACTGTGGCATCCCCAGGGCTGGAGCTTAACTTTTAGAATCTGAGAAAAATAACAGGAAAAGCTACTTAAATGTCAGCAGCCTTAAGTCTGCTATCTGGGGCCTGCACCTACCTTGGAAGATACGTGAGTGTTAGCAAATCAGAAGCAGCCTGAAAATCACTGAGCCAGGATATTAGGAGATCAGCCTGATTCCCTAACTCTCCACCTTACTCTTTAACTCACTCTTGAGATAAGCAGCAGCTCATCTCAAATGATCTCACTGCAGCATCAGCTCCAAGCCAAGCAGATAAATGGCCTTGCAAAAAGAGCTCTCAGTCAGAAATGGTGTGAACTGGGTCAAGGTTGGGATAATGCAGAGATCAGGAAACAGGGCTTCCATATAAGCCAAAAAGCTAAGTGCTAATGGCCAGAAAAGCAATATATAATGAGCTCTTAAGAAGAACAACACATAACTAAGCCATATATTTCCTCACTGGCAGTCAGCTGCATGTTGGTGCTTTAATGAAGTTACAAGACAGAATACAGGAGTATCTAATCTCCAGAGAACATCATTAGTGAAGACAAATTACATTTCACAATGCCGCCATTATTTTTGTTAGCACCTCATTAATCATCTAATGGTCATTACTCATTATTTGCTTAGCCTGGTCTGAGTACTCAGCTGTGCAAAAATACTGAGATTCAGATGGTCCCTGCCCCACAGAGCCAACAGTGCTTTGTCTCTGCTACCAGTTACCATAAGGAATTTGCATGGTGTTTGGAGGGAGGAAATATTGACTATGTCCTTCTTCATGGGCGGTTAAAATAGAAGGTGACTTCTGCTGTGATAAATTGAAAATGCTGAAAGATTTACAGGCAGAGAGGGGTAAAATCCTCTGCCGGTTTTGCGGAGAAAGAAGGCAAAGATGCTGCTCCGCTATCCTCAGGTACCACTGTGAGACTGGTCCACAAACTGCCTGAAAAAGGTAATAGAAAATAAAGCTCAGTTGCAACCTGCTGGTGAAGTATAGGCAGGCTCTCAGAGTGCCTATCTGTGTACTCGAGGGTTAGCAACAGGTCCAGCTGAACTACAGAGGAACAAGATATTGCTCTGTCGACACTGCTGCTGGTAAAGGTGATTCATTACGTTAATGGCCTTCACTTAAACACAGATGACATATTTAATCTAAGCCTTGAAAAGCATTAACCCTTGTCCTCTGAATAAACAAGGCCAGGTATAAGGGGTTTTCCAATTCCCCAGCTGAGAGGTGCCAAAAGCAGCGACTGGACCACAGTCCTCCCACAGTGACCTGGGAGAATGTAGTTGCTCTCACACCACAGGGATGCAGCATTTCACCGGAGACTCATTCATCCTCCTAGCGCCAGGTCTGGGTGTCCATGTGCAACTACACTTAGCCTCATAAAGGGAAATGTCGTTGGTACCTGCTCCTTGTGGCCATACAGTGCTCATTTTAACCAAACATCACATGGAGGTGGCATCACCGTGTGGCAATTAATGAGCCAAGAAATTAGGAAGGAAGAGACATTCAGAGCTAAATTAATTTCATAGTCATTTCCTGCAGTCGGGGAATATGCTGGGCCAGTTCTGCACCTCAGTTTGTCCCAGGGTAACTCCACAGCCAGCAACAGAAGCACAAAAGGGAGCCTCCTGTGGAGCTGGTGGGGGGAGCCTGACTGCAGCACCCACTTGAACCAGGACAGTCACTACTGTGCCCACAAGGTGGGTGTCAGAGCTGTAGATCAATTGCAATGCCCCGTTTTTAACAGGGGAAAGTAAGTCCCTTTTTGTTTTGTGCCCTTGCATCATGCGGGAGCAGCTGACCAACCCACGTAACAGTTTTCTAAAATATTTTGCCTGAGGCAGACGTTCAGACTGAAAAAAATTCAGTCAAGGTAATTAAAGAATTTGTCAATGCTAAAAACAACTGGAAACAGCTCCTAATGGGATAACCCATCATCTCCCACACGTGCCATGGGCCACGCGTGCTCCCACCAGGGCCCCATGAGCCCTTCCCTGCTTGCCAGGATAAGTGCTCATGGTAATGGCCTGTTTCCAACAGAGCAAGCTTTGGGGTGGGTGAAATATCTATTCCTGGACACTGGCTTTCCTGGGGGAAAGAGGGTCGAGTCCCAGCACAGAAAAGGGAGACAAAGTGTGACAAAGCATCTCATACCTCACACATTGCTGGGGTTCTGGGGTGCCACTGAGCAAGCACTGGCACATTCACAGTGCTCCTGCCTCTGTCCTTTGGGGACCAACCCAACAGTGAGCGTGGAGCTGGTGACACAGACTGAGGGCCTGTGTTACTGGCTTTCTGCTCCTCCCCTAAATATATGTGTAAGGGCTTGCTCTGGATATGCACACATCCTGGAGGCATGCATGCTGTGTGCACAGCATCAGCGCTGCTCCAGCACCACAGGCTCGTGCACAAAACTGACCATACTGTTCTGCTGAACTTACCCTGTTTTAAATGACCAACTCAGATGTTGATGAAGTCATTCTTTTCCCCAAAGCAAGAGGGACTGATGGCTGTGCTTCACCAAAAGGGCTCTCACCTGTAGGGTGAGAGCTTCCCACACCTGTACCCACCAGGGTAACAAAAAAGCCTACAGCTGGTATTTTACCCCCATACAGGAGTGGGTAAGGGCATCCCCTTCCTGCTCCCCATGTTCTGCAGTGCTGAGGCAAAAGCAAAGTGTTGTCCAACATGGATGCCCAAAAGATGCCCAGAGGAACAACAGCTTCCAGCAGGGTTTTGAAGGTTTGCTGCCAAGGAGCAGCTGCCTTCTTCTGAGGATGGTTCCCCTGTCCAACAGCCCCAGAGTCACAGGCAGCCTTGCAGCAGGCTCCAAACAGTGATTACACTGCTGGGGACGTGGGCAGGTCCCATTGCTGGAGGAGAGGAGACAGATTATTTTAGTCATTGTTTCTTCTTCATTTCACCCTAACTAGTAATCAAATGTGCTTAGTTTTGAGAATCATTTTGAACACTTGTCCATGTCTAGCAATTTACTTACCTCAAGAGTCCTTCCTCTCTCTGTCCCCAGGAAGCTCCTGATGTTTTTTGCCACAAATAAAGCAATATTCACTTTCTTCTATGATTCAACAACTCCATGTCTCAGATCCGAGTTACTGGTGACATCCCAGATCACAACAGAGCATAGCAGTTGCCCTGAGGCATCCATTACAGACCTCTGATGTCCAGGCCAGGGAATTGTATTTGGAGAAATAAAATTCCCTTGTAGCTTGTGTTGTCCAGAGGATGCCTCCTCTTTTTACATTCTATTTTCCTGAACTGTGAGGAACTATTTAGCCTTTACTAAGTTTTTTCCCAGGAAAGCTGGAAAGGCAAAATGATTTCTGTAATGTAATTGTTCTGCAGAGAGTGCACAACACTTCTGGAACCCAAGTCAGCACATAAATGTAAGCCATTCAATGAGAAACCTAACAAACATTAAAGCAATTGGAACCAAGACAGGCTGCACCCTGGCTAAAAATCAGGTCAGCCAAGGGTCCTGATGACCTAATCAGCAAAATGGAGGGGTCCTGAAGTCTTATAATGGCAAAATGGAAACATTAGCTGATTACCCACCGATTTTATTGCTGATGGATGAACGTTAACAGCCGTTTCCACTTGCAGGTAAAGGAGAACACAAATATTACAGTTGATGGAACCGTATTTCATTAAAGTAATTGTGCAAGTTGCTGTTTAGATTGGAGAAGGTCATCTGCAAGTCAGTGTGTGTCCAACATCCACTGTATGTGCCTCTCAGAAACTACAGATACCTCTCCCCACTGCTCCCTTTCAGTATCTAGCCCTGCAGTGGGAGACAGCATGGGCAGAAATCTCAGTGCTGGCAGCAAGTGTACTTCAGTGGAGATGAAGTACTCTCTTTTTTAACAAAATACGTAAATCTAGCACCCTTTTTTTCCCCTTTCCTGAATGCATGTGGAAACCTGAGATGAGAAGCAATCTGAAAATGTTTTCAGACGACTGGGGAGGCGAAAATTATGCTGAATACATCGCGAAAAAATGGAGCTTCCTTGTGTAGCAATGAGCCGGATTTATCTGTAAAATAAACTTTTGAGAGGAAAAGAGGATTTGCCTCTGGGATATTTAAAATGGACAGAAGTTGATAATCCAGTCCCTTGAGACAAATAAGCCTGCTGCTCTGATTGCACCATGCCCTCTGACAGGAAGCAAGAGTAAGCCCCAGTGCAAGGGCTTTGGACATGGATGTAGGTATGGTAAAAATGTCACAGTTCAAGTGTGCTATGTAGCCAAGAGCAGCCTTTGCCCCAAAGTGCCATTCCAGGATTTGAAAGCTATTGATTCTCATAGGCTTCTGACTAAAGGGTTGGTCCTTTCAGCCCATTTCCATAGGGAAATCTGAGCTCATGGTGATGTGACATGCTGGAAGCCAGATATATGCTCCCTGCTTCCCCATTGCCCCATTGCGTGCTGGAGACCTGCTTCACCAAAAAGAAATGGAGCAGCAGCAGTAACATTGAGGAGCCTGGTTTCTCCCTTCTGCTTAATCATTCAACAGCCCTCAGTCAGTGCACAGGGCAACTCACAGTCATGCACCGATGTCTCTCCATTGGGAGTTAGCATCCCCAGGAGGGAGGGACCCAGCACTACCGGAGGCCGTCGCTGGTTGGCACATGGGACAGCCCTGAAAATGAAAAACAGCACAGAAAAAACAGCTTGCGGAGGCTGTATCCATCTGCTCACCTAGAGAACCTACCAGCTGCCCCAGAAAGTAAACTCTGGGTGAGAGCTGTGTGCCAGCGGGGAAGCCTCAGCACAGGGTTTTCCCCCTGCCCCAGCACCTGTCTTCTAAGCCCATCCTCCTGCCCCATCTGACTGCAGGCTGAGCTGCGTCCTCTGCCCTGTGGCAGCAGAAGAAGGGGCAAGGAAGACAGGCTGTGCCAGCGATTTCTCAGGAGAAGCATCCCTGGCCAAAAGAACATGATGGACCGTTTCCGGATGATCTTCCAGTACTTCCAGTCGAACTCGGAGTCTGTAATGAATGGGATCTGTGGGCTGTTAACCCTGGCTAGCATAAAGATGTATACCTGCATTGAATTCAGCTGCCCCTGTCTGCCCCAGTACAACATGGCATATGGCTTGGGGATCATGTTTGTACCCCCCATTGCCCTCTTCCTCTGTGGCCTCATCCTCAACAGACAGTCCCTGGTGATGCTGGAGGAGTGGAGTCGACCGCAGGGGCGCAGAAAGAAGGACCTGGCTGTCATCAGGTGGGGTTTGCACAGGGAGTGGCATCCCTCCTTTCACCTCCTGCTTAGCTGTCTCACCTCCATAGCTTTGATCCTCATGGTAATTAATTTTGTTCTAAGCTTAGTGCCCGGGACCTTTCCACATGAGCCTGGAGGGTCAGGGGCATGGTAAATGCAGTTCCATCACAGTCCTTCTTTACCGATAGCCTTGTGGCTTCCCTCCGTTTAGGTGAGTTTTTAACTGACTTACACTGGTGGAAAGCAGAGGAGAATCACATTCGATCTGTTACATGCAAAGTTTTACCCAGTGCACAGTTTGTCAGTGGGACAAGAAAGACTGCAGAGATTTGTGCATGGGAGATGCAAGTATACAGCTGAGGCAAGCACAAAATAAGAGGAACATGCACTGCATTGAATGCAGGCAGCGTGCAGAGCACTGCCATGCACCACACAGGTTTCACTGGGAGGCAGCACCAACAAAGAGATCCCAGAGCAGAAGAGGCTTTAGATGGAGAAATGCTGGGAACAGTCCTAGGAGTAGGCTCCCTGGTTCTGGTAGGGCTGCTTGGCATAGGGCAGCCAAATCCATCAAGACTCTGGATGAGGAGAAAGCTACCAACATTTACACACTCACTTCTCCCTCTCCTGCCACAGGTACCTGTGCTCCTCCATCATGCAGCGAGCCATGGTGGCCCCTGCTGCCTGGATTATAGTCACTCTCCTGGATGGCAAATGCCTGATCTGTGCTTTCAGCGGCTCCATGGATCCTGAGAATTTTGTGGACTTTGCCAGTGCCAGCCCAGTGCAGGTGCAGCAACTGCTGGCCAAGGTGCCCTGCAAGGATGAGGAGCTCATGAGGAACAACACGTCCCACAAGGCAGTGTCCAGCTACCTGCGCTGCTGGTCCCAGGTAGGTCACTGCTGGCTGAGCCCCCACGTCAGTGAGGTGCCCGGGACATGCACCCTCTGCTCCTGCTCTTCCTTGGTTTGTCATAGTTTCACCACGATCAGGGTGGGAGAAAGACTACTCTGCTTCTTTATGCCCCCAAATATTGCCACCCTCAGGGATAATCTCCAGTTTCACTCAGGTAGGGAAAAGGAAGGAAATAAAGGATGGTTTAATTAACTGAACTTTGTTTCTAGAAGAATCAGCAGCCTCTAAACCCAGATAAGAAAAGCAGGTTGCAAGGAATATAGATGTCTCCGAATGCCCTGCCCAGTGTCAAAAGACCTTTCTAAGTGCTAACCTCACAGATAGGACCTGCTGTTTTACAGACAGCATAAGTTGAGACAGACAAAAGCAGCTTGCTCAGGAACAATAGAACAGGACACAATAGGGAGTGAAGCCATGTCTGGCCCCCACTCTTGGTACAGGAGTGCCAGATCAGGGATGAGGACCAGTGGGAGGGCACCGAAAACAAACCCTTCCTTAAAAAAGGAAGCTGCACGTAGTAGGGGCTGTCTTCACCCTGCAGTGGGACACCTGGGCCCTGGAGCAAGTGCAGGTGGCAGATGAAGATCTCGCTGGAGATAAGTGCTCACCAAAGGAGAGCACTCAAGTCCCCTTCCCCTGGGGTGCTCCCATGCTGAAAGCAAGTATCTGGTGGCTCCAGGTTGACTGCAGTTACCTTACTGAACTACTGAAGCATAGATAAATGTCCAATATTCACTGGGAGGAGATTACACTGACTATCTGAGTGCAGTTCAGGGGTGCTGGGCTTCAGGGACAGATCAAGGACAGGAGTCCAGATGTGCCACATCTCCCCTCCAGCCACACAAATTCCCTGTGTCTTGGTGATACAGGCAAAAAGGTTGTGCCTGTCCTTGTGCCTGTCTTGCTCCTGTACCACTGCTTATTTCTCATCACCCAGGCACTCGGGTGGAGTATTTTGTTGATCCTTATCATAGCAGCTTTCCTCGCCCGGTGGCTCAGACCTTGCTTCAACCAGGCCGCCCTCATGCAGGCACGTCACTGGAGCAACTACATCGACATCGAGCAAAAGATTTTTGAGGAAACTTGCTGTGAGCACAGCCGGCTCTTTGCTCACAAATGCATCCTTCACTTCTTTGAAAGCATGCGGCAAGAGATCAAACTGCACAGCTTCAGCTTGCCTAGGCAGGGAAAGGGGACTGAAGGAGAAGAAGATCTTCTTCGGGGCATCACAGATCAGGACCAGGTGAACAAACTCCTGAAAACGTGGTACTATGAGAAACCTCCCCTGGATGTCAGCAAGGCGACCCAGAGGCATCCCCTGGGGCAAGAGAGATCCTCCTTGCCCCGGGCAGACAGCCCTAGAACAGGGTCCCAGTTCCCCCAGCACTCTGATGTGTAAAGGGCTCTTTGTCCTGCTGACACTGAAGGGACACTGACAATCCTCTCCACAAAGCAAGGACCACTGGGCAGATGACAGTGGTTCTCACATCTTCCTCCAATCCCCTAAACCCAAAGGTTCTGCTCCAGGCTCCAAAAAAACTAGCTCTGAAGATCCAAAGGTCCCAGACTCAGTCACTATCAATAAAAATTCTCAACCAAGGGTTTTGTGTATCACTTTTATCATATTAAAGAATTTTCAGCTCCTTACAGCTGTGATAAAAGGGGATTTAAAAGGATTTAACCAAGGCAGCAACACGTGTCTGTGAATACAAACCAACTGGAGTGGTAGCTTCACAGAGGTGTGAAGAGCTCCTGCCCATTTCAGTGAAACCTGGTTCAGAGAGTTCACAGTGCTGACACTGAAATGGTTTAATTGGCAACTCTTTTAGCACCACACCAATATTTACTCAAAAAGGCAAAACCACCTCCTGTGTCTTCCCATCTGCTGAGAGCTCTGGCTGCCCCCAGCCCAGCTGCCAAACATTTCAGCCTCCCTCTAACAACCCATCAATATTTCCATGCATTTTCTAAACAAAATATGGCAACACACTGAAATTCAGGGAGCAGCATAAATTTAGCTAAAGATACCTCTGGATAAGTGTCCCTGGATTAGGTTGGATTTGCAGAAGGAAAAGGAGATGAAGGCTTTGATTACCATACCAAGAGCCACATGGCTGTGCTGGGGTTCAGCTGCTCTAAGCATTGGCATCGGGCCATGGGAAGTACTAACTCTGCTTGAGAAGTCTGAACACAGATTTTAAACAGTCCCCTGCTAGATTTTAGTACAAACCAATTATCCAGAGGATCATTCTTGCATCACCTAGTTGGGGATTTGCATCCTAAGTTTCAAAACTGTTTAAATGTAACCTTATCTCTGAGCCTCTAATACTAATTAACTTCTTACCTGCCTTCTTCCAGACACTGTTGTAGATGGTGCCAACCAGGGTGCCAGTTTGGTATTTGTCCAGCATCAGTTTTTGGATGCATTAAACTCTTCACTGCAAACTAACCACATACAGACACATCTATTCCTCCAGGCTGAGGCTCACATTGATGCCCACTTTGTCCCTGGGAGGGAGGGGTGCAAGGTGGAGGGGCTGTGAGGAGGGAAAGTGAGGAAATGTCTCCTTGGCCATGCATGGATAGATGGGGATGACAATCCCCTGAGTTAACATGTTGAGCTGCTGGGAGGTGGGTGACCTCCTTCCCAGGATGTGTCCATGGGGTCAGGGAGGGAGGGAATACTTGACAAAACAGGGAGGTCAAATAACTCCATGGCCCACCCATTGGCTCTGTCAGCCAAGGCCGGGCCAGGAGCTGTGGGGTGCAGAGGGATGGGCTGCAGAGCTTTTCTTATTTACATAGCAAAATCAGCTCTGTATGAATCCCTTGAGCTCCCTTGGACATGCTCAGGGAAGGCACAAAGCTAGTTGTGGCCCATGCTGGTTAGGAATATCACAGAGGTCTTCTCACCAGGAGCTCTTTATGTCCAGGGAGCTTCTGAGCTCTCTTTCAAAATCAGCATTGCACTTTGAATTTCATCTTTGATTTGCTTCTATCAGACATGATATCATAAATCTCGGTCTGAGACTCAGTTCGGACTCACCACTCCACACTAGTCAAATCACCTATTTTCCTAACTAGCTCAGAGCATAGGCCCACAGCTCCCCTTTGCATGCTGTTTTCCATGTTCTCAAGTCTTACATCATCCCAGAATGGCTGCAAAATATGAAATGCAAAAAAAAGGGGAAGAAAAACACCTTTATTATCTGTGTCTGGGGGGACAAAACCAGAGGATTTAAGTGCACTGCCATAGACTTTTGCAGATCTACAAAGGCTCACATGCTGCTGGGAGGGTCAGTCTGGTCACAGAGTAACTCCTGGACAGAGCTGTGAGTGTTCATCCCTCCCAGACTCCCTGAGTCCCATGCTATGTTCCCCTTTGAAGCCCGAGAACTCTTTTTCAGTATGGAAAATGGTATCTGGCACCCCATGACAGGACAAGAGGCAACAGGCACAAACCCAGAATGCAGGAAATTCCATTTAAACAGAAGAAAACACTTTAAGGGTGATGGAATGGGCTGTCCAGAGAGATGGTGACACTTCCATCCATACAGATATTTACAACCCTATTAGATGTACGATGGGTGTGCTTTGGGCAGGGAGCATGGACCAGACACTCTCCAGAGGTTCCTTCCCACCAGCTCTGCTAGGAGTGTGTACCCTCCTGTGGAAGTGGGAGCAGAGAGGGCCATTAGCAGCTCTCTGTCTCTCAGGGCTGGTCTGATGCCTGACCTACAGACATGATTGACATGCTGATGGATCCTCTCCTGCCAAAAGCCTGTGAAACAACTTCTCCAATCTCTTCCCAAACTCTCCTGGTGGGAATTGTGACCATTTTGATGTCCCTCCTCTCTATATCCTGCATTGACCGGGACACACAAAGCCCTTCTCAAATCCCTGGCTTGGTGTCTGTCTTAGCATCCAGATACAGGACCCCACGCTCGGAGGGATTTGGGCATGTACCATCTCTCCCAGGACCTGGTTTCCAAAGCACAAGCATGTTGGGATCGTGGGAGGAAGCACCAGCCCTACCTTCTCCTGCGAATCAGTTGGAGTGAACTTTCTGTTGGCAAGCTGATGAAAACAAGGTCCTCCCTCATAAGACAATATGGGAAGAAAGACCCAGCCATTGGCTTTTACGGGCTCTGTTTTGAATCCCACTGTCCTGCTGTTGGCTTCCACAAGAACTGCCAATGCCGTACACCAAGCAGGCTCAGACCCCTCATTCATGTTTAATGAAAGGCAGTTTCCCTGGAGATCAAAAAGCTCTCTGCTTTTTATGAGGTTGATTCATGCAGGCTTTGATGTGAACTGCCCTTCAAAAGCCACTCGCCAGGTGAACAAGGAAGCCAACCTGAGCTCTTAGCTAGCAATACAATAAGCCTCGTCTATATTCATGTAGCCAAATCTCTTGTTTGATGAGATCATGGAATTAACCTTTCCACAGCAGGCAAAGCAAAGATGTGCTTTGTGCTCACCTCTGCGGTGGCATCTCAGGGTGAACTTGGCATTATCGACTGAGCCCCAGGGCTGGTGTGAGACATCAGAAACTGAAGCGCTGACTAATGGTCAAAACACCTAGTTTGGCTTCTTACCTCTATACCTACGCACTGCAAAACCTTGGGGAAAAGCATGTCCTGGATGCCACTCACCTATGTACAACTTTCCTTGGTGACATATCTCACAGCCACCAATGTATCCATGCTGGTGCCCAGACAGTCAGATGTATCCTGATACTCATGTCAACACCACAGTTGGTGCCTGTACCGGAGAGACTGAATGCCTTGCAGGCAGTCAATACTGCAACCATCTGTTTTACAGTCACTTGTAGTCCTGACATTTGCCCATATTTTGGCCAACTTGAGGGAGCAAACTAGTGCATCAAACCTGCTTTGTGAACTGGGAATGGAGATGCAGGAGAGCACCAACACCACAGTCCACTTCTTTTAGGTTTAAGCTGTAGGAGCTAGGCCTGTCCCATTCATAACCACCACATTTCATTAGTGTTTGTCTCAGTTTTGGCAAGCTGGGGAGGAGTCTGTTTGGTCGGCTCTGTGCTGGCAAATGTGTGCAGGATCTCTGCATCGGAAAGCCCCCAGGTTTGCAGAGCTGACAGCAATGAGCTGAACTGAGACTGTATGAGAGGGAAGAGGGATAGAAATGATGGGGAAGCTTTGCACCCCAATACCAATAAATGGGACACATCCACCACAGACCTGAGCTGGCTCTGCCCAGGTGAATGAAGAGCAAGGAGGGGAATGCAGGTATTCAGGTCTGCTTGGGTCCAGACCTCCTGGTGTTGCTACTGAATTAGTAAGCCCAGGTAAAGTGGCATGGCTAAACTGTCAGCAATTCTGTGATGTATGGACCAGCCAGCTCAGCACCCAGCTAGATCAGTCCTGCCTGCACCATGCACTAGTTGCATGGGAAACATGTCCTTGGACACCTTAGCCTCAGGTCAAGGCACATAGCCAAATCCCAGCCCCTCCTGCTAAATGGATGAGCATTGCTGGCTCAGGTAGTCCTTGCTCTGCCCTTCCTGTCAGGATCTGAGTGATCTTCAGAGGAGCGGCATCTCTGCTACGCCCTCAGGGCCCACGCTGTTGGTACCCGCTGGCCAGATGGGCAGGAAGGGTTCTGCACAGCCCATGCCTGTAGGTGATCCGGGAAACACTGTCCCTCAGGGGATAGCAGCTGCCCTTGGGCCAAGGAGGTCACTGGCAGGATTTACACATCCTCCTTGTATTCCCAGCTCCGGTTCCACAGATTTATCAAGGGCTGGGATTATACCCACGAGAGGTAGCTGCAAGAAAATTGTTCAGCCTCCATCACCCAATGGAGTGGGTGACTGAAAGCAGAATTTGACATTCAAAGAAAAGTGCACTCAAGCCCTTCAGAAATGCTCATTGAAAGTGGGTGAAAAGAAGAAATCTCAGGGAAAAACCTCAATCTTGGAGCTCTGCATGGCAGGGAACATCTCCTGAGAAAGCAGATGTACCCAGGGCTCAGACACTCTCAGCAGGACCCACCTTCGGACCAGGGTGCATCCTCTGCGCCCTGTCCCTGCAGCCTTTCTATGCCTCGTTTTCTCCAGCTCCAAAGCCAGGAAAAGCACTATGTGCCTCTGGATGTTGCCAGACTGTGTGAGCCAGGGTTTGGAGGATATTTTAGCAAGTGCTGAGGGCAGAGGGCTGTGAAAAGCAAGGAGTTACAGGTGTCATCTTCTAAGTCTCACTGAAATGTGGACATTTGCAGGACAGAGGGGAGCCACCAACAGACTTCAGCAATACAGATACATCTCAGAGCACCGAGAGCTTTAAAACTCCTTCCTCTGTCTTTCCTTTTCTCTTCCCTTCCCTCTGCAGAATAAAACAGAGATGCCATTTCTCGGTGAAG